GCCTGAGAAGTCACCTGCTTGGAAAGGAGCCTGAGAAATCAGCCAAGAGACATCACAGTAGGTCGGGCGCAGGAGACAAGCGCAAATAGAAATGGCCTCACTTAGTGCGTGTAAGGAGAAGACCTGGCTTTTGTGAAAACGCCAGATCAGGCACACTCTGCACACAGGCGAGATTAGGTGGGCAAAGCAAGCATGCTCCTTGTCACAGAGCAATGAGTCCTGCAGAAAATATTATAGATTGGTCTTCCTTTCAGTATTCATTCTTTCCTGCTGAATCTATCAAAGGGGAGCACTTTCCTCTTATAAAAACCATTTATGGAATTTTATTCTATTACATGCATATAATCTGCTTCAGTTGTTACATCCTCCCCTTCTCCTTCTAGCACTGATAAAACCCCCAAAGTACAGGGCAGCGACTGGCTGACTCGCTCCTGGTATAGGAGTTCATCGTAACAGCCCATCTGCAAGTGCTACAAAGACTCTCCTGGCCTCAAAGACCCTGCTGACATTTTAAAGTTTTAAAATTTTGTTGTGATATAAATTCTTTCATATAAGTCTTCTTTAATGACTGTACTGGAGCCAGGGCCTAACCTGCCCTCAGCCTTAGAGCACAGGACAGAGGCTGAGTGCTTCAGGGCTCACGGCCTAGGAGCAGGGTGCTGTGGTCTAGGCCTGGCACATGATGGACGATCCACAGCCTGAAGCTCAAAGCCCAGTTCTACACGTATTCAGAACTGTGCCCTCGAGGAAGCCAGGTGGGCCTGAGCCTGAGCTACCTCTTCTCACGGATCTTCCAGCAAACGAATAGTATACTTCAGGTGAGCACATTTGTAATGACTAGTAACCATCAAATGGAAAGTAGCGCATACTCTGCATCCTAAATACTTGAGGCTGGGTTGGTTTCATGTTGTGAAAGTTCATACAGTGTGTAGACAGCAGATGGGCTCTGGGTACCACCGTGCCCTCACGCCTTGCACAGCTTGAAGCACAATGCCTGCCCAGGTGCACAAGCATTAGGAACGCCTCCTGAGTTCAGATCCGTCTGCTGACCCACATGAGCCTTTACAATGCTTCATTTCGAGAGCTTCAGGGTTTTGGTGAAGTACACATAGGACTGTGGCATCCTCTTCAGAGCCAGACCAGTGCTGCACGTGAGTAGTGGCACCAGACGTGGCAACACCCCCACCAAAGGCCTCTCTGACGCAGGCGCTCAGAGCGAAGGGAGAAGCTGGATCCTGCTTGTTCGTGGATGGCATCAGCTAAAAGAAAAAGGGAAGAGGGGGAATGCAAATGATTCTCCCGTGTGTGTGTGTGTGTGTGTGTGTGTGTGTGTGTGTGTGGTACAGATTTACTCTGCTAATGGGGTCATTTACATGGGAAAATCACAAAGTGAAAGATTTGAAAGGAAGGAACGCAAAGTTCTAGTGCCTTCTTCCTAAGTCTTCACATGAGACGCCACAGCTATCATCAATGAAGTGATGTGATCAAATCCAGGTCTTAGGAACAGATGCCTGGGTAAAAGCACGACACAACTACAGAGGCTTTTTAGTGCAAATGGGGCAAAGGCCGTGTCCCTGAGCCCCTGGGTCCTTCACCTTGAAACTTCTCCTAGAGCCTTCCGTGTGCTTATTTCTCCGGCGGGTGGGTGCTGAGGTGTTTCCCACAGCTTTGGAAAATCTGGGTTCCAGTGGATGAGAACTGGCTACCCCAGGAAGGTGGTGCTGTGAGATCAGTAATGAGGGGGGCAGGGCTAAAACTGCATAAAGTGACATTTATTCAGGACTTACGGACGAAATGTTTCAAATGGCAGAAAGACAGGCAGGTTGCTGCACTCCGTTGTGGAAGGAAGGGCTCACAGGCTAAGCGAGGCAGAAGTCTGCGGTGAGCAGAACACACCTGAGCTTCCCAAGGACTGTTATCATGGCCCGGCTCAGCGCAGAAATTCATCGTGCAGGGGTTACGGTCCACACAAAATGCTTGACTGGGTATCTTTATTGACTTCATTTTATAGGGCTTAGAATTGTGTCCCCCTCCCCCCAGATGACTACAGACCTGTCGGCTGGATCCCTACACACTGTCGTGGTACACAGAACCTTCTTTGGCAGGAGTATGCTGGAGAAACCAGGATTCCACAGAATGCAGGATCAGACCTGACTTCAACTCATTTTGTCCATCCTGACAATGTTCACTTCCCAAGGCTGTGCTGTAGCCTCTGCCTGTCCCCTGGAAACGTCTGATGACAGTTTCCTGAGAGGCCATGAGCCAGAACCACACAGTGGAGCCACATCTGGATTCTCTGCCCTTAGAAACCAACATGATAAGAAACTTTTTTTTAAAGCTGCTAAATTCAGGAATAATGTGTTATGCAGCAAAAAATAGTTAATACATCCCATTAATACATGATGAATTTTTTCTTTATTTTGTCTTAATCTTTTCCCACCAACAAATCATTGGTAATGGGCTGAGGAGATAGCTCAGCAGTCTAAGCACCTTCCTGGCCAGCACAGGGACCTGGGTTCCATCCCTGGCACTGCATGCCAGGCTGGCCCTGCCCAAGGCGTGGTGGTATATGCCTGTAATCCCAGTGCTGGGGAGGCTGAAACAGGAGGGCCACTATGAGTCCAAGCTGCATAGTAATATCCTGTACCAAATACATAAAATTAAAAAAGAAACCATCTGTCACTTTAATTTTTAAAGTTATGCAAAGAGACTGCTAAACAGTCTACCTGAATTCCAATCCCCTCTGCACAGAAACACACAATATCAGAGCCTTGAAGTTCTCCTGGGTCATTTGGAAGAAACTGAGGCTTTGCCCCTGCGCTTTGTACTCTGGCCATTACCTACTTCCGATTCACCTTCTTCTTGCTTCCTTGGACTCTGGAATAGCAGAACATCAGTGTCCATCCTTCACATCTCTTAGCTCTTGTGGGCTGTGCTTTGCATTCTAGTGAGCTTTCAATATGAGTGCATTCCGGTCCAGATTTGATGAACAAGGTGATGAGAAATGAGCGCCCAGTTTGTCAAAGAAAAAACAGTAAGCCAAGGCCATTGCACTCAGGGAATATTTTTTAATTTCTTGAGTGGTTTGCAAAATTTGTAATCAGGACAGCAACCTTATTGGA